ATTATATTTTGAAAATTTGCAAAATTCGTCAGTTATTCTCAGCCCACGCCAAACATTCTTTCGACCGTCCCTTCCGGCCACCATCGCCGTAGTCCTCGCCTCCTAAGCTAAAGCTGGTCACGAGACTGAGCCGGAATAGATTTACTACTTCTTCCCGGCTATTCCTAAGGTAGCATCGGGACTGTGGCATTGAAGATCCTTTGGCTATTCCACGGTAAAGGTCCTTGATTTTCCCACTGCAATTTTGAAGGTGTCCGACGGAACGCAGTCCGATTTCATGGCCCTGAAGAAGATTACTTTTCCGTTGGCAGCGGCCGTAGGCGGCGGCATTTCCGTTGGAGCTTCCTGTGACACTATTGTCTCTAGTGCGCAGACAGTGAAGGCACGACGACAGGTGGTGGTGGTTGGCGGCGGGCTGGTGTCACTACTGTCATGTGTGCGTCTGTGTTATATGTGTGCGTAAGTGTGTGTTATGTGTATGGGGGGTTGTGTGATAGACGGGGCAGGAGTGGGGTAGGATGGGGTGGGAGGGGTGACGTGTGTAAGGTTGAGTGGGTGGAGTGGGTCCCACGGTGGTGTGGGCTTAATTACCAATCTATCCTTAATGAGTAAGCAATTGTATTTATTTGACTATGATATATCTACTTAATTACGTGATCGCCACCACATATTGGACTGCCAAATATTATAATTTGACTTGATCATGACCATTGACTTTAGGAATCCAATAGTCCAGATCACTCTCACACGGGCTCACAAGGGCCAACGGCCTAAACAAAAACATGAATCCTAAACAAACATTACGAAATACTCGTACACAGTCGGGTTCACAGAGGCTAATGGTCCAAACAAAAAAAACCAGACCAACAAACATCACAAACACAGACTCAAGACAAATGAAGAGTAAACATAATAATACTAAAAATTTTTCCCTTCCCCAGCCAACCAAACGAGACTGAATCAGCGGAGTAATAATCGATCCAAGAAGAGACCATGCCCGAGGAACCGCTACTGAAATTGCGTGACCGCCTATACAGAAGCCGAACCCGAGCCCCGAACTCATCTCAAATCAACCCACCTTCGACCGAGAGAACAACGAGCCAGCTCCCACACAATCACTAACAACACTCATCTAACACCACTAGATAAACTCGGGAGTTCCGGACCCCGACCGTCCCCAACACCAGAGAACGGGGGTGAGACCTGCTCGGTTCCACAACTACGAATTCCCAGACGCAAGACGTCACAAGCGCCAGAGTCCCGCCCCGCCCGCTGAACCCCTCATATCCCAACCCACCACAGACTGCCGACGATCAGAGCCCGAGCCCCACCGGGAGCCCAACTGGAAGCTGCAAAGCCAACCCACCGGGAGCCCAACCCACTGCTGAACCACACGAAGCCGACCCTACTTGTCGACCCGCTGAATATCAAGGTGAAGCCACTCTAATCGAGGGCCCGCTAACAACCGGGGGGGAACCACCGTTCGTCGGCCGAGGGAAACCACCTCAATCGTATCCTCACCAACAACCTAGGGCGGACTCCAATCGCGAACACCTGCAGAGGAATTGAAGACACGTGACTTTAGGGACGGGCCATGGCCCAACCTTCGCCGGTGTCGAGGAAGGCGGATTGACGAATTGAAGAGGGCAAGGGTTCTGTGAGAAAGAGGAATTGGGAGAGAACTAATAAGATTGATTTATAAGTACCTTTTTTTCTTTTACCAGAATCGTTTTCAATTTTTTTTATTTCTTTCACTATCTATCATTCACATTTCAGCACACTTATGTTTGTGTACATATATATATAGAAGTGCGCTCAAATGAGAAAGGAGCACAATGAAAGAAATGAGAATGAATATGGACCACTTGATCTACTATTTCAATGGCTAAGATGTAGATGGCAGTTTTGAATCCTGTTCAATTACAAATGACATTCTCGTAATTAGAGATGAATGGTGTGGTTAATTATACAAGCTTGAGGGTAATTTTGTAGTTTCCAAAAAACACTTCCCACACACATCCCTTCACCTTCCTCACCGATCCTGTCACTTAACACCCACCCCCCCTCTCCCCCCCCAACCAACCACACACACACAACCACACTCCCACCACCGCCGGTCGCCGCCCGCCGCCACCATCCCGACGCCGTCTCTTTCGAGTTCTCTGCATCTAGGCTCATAGAATCGCCGCTGCCGATGAACCTTCACCTCGCCGGTTGAAACTCTGCACAAGGTCACGCGCATAGCCACCATCAGCCATCTGCTCCACCGCTGGAAAGACTGTCTCCGCCACATATCTCAATCGATCATAGTGACACCGCCGCCACAGCCCATCCGCCGTCACCATCCCCTAAACACACACAAACTCTGACGGCCGGAGCCGTTGCGGCATGGTCGCCACCGACGACCACCTCTTCGGCATAGATCTGGCCATCCTCGGAGCGATCCAACCGTATTATTCTCCGCCTCGCAGAGTCGTAGACCTCGCCGATGGCCAGAGGTGCAGCAGATGTTCGCGGCGACCGGCAGGGTCAAGATGGTATTTTCTACAGGACCTTATCATCCGGCGTGTGGCGGATAGCGGCGGACGTCGGGCGTCAGGCGGAGGGTCGGCGAACGTCGGGCGGCGGGCGGAGGGGCGACGGGCTCAGAGTGTCGAGAATGTGTGTACAGTGAGAGTAATGTGATGTTCTTATGAGGCGCTTAATATTGAAAATTAGACAAGTTCAAAGGACTTTGATGCAATTTTAGATTTTCTAGTTAATTGCATTTTAATATGTGGTGCATTATTATCATTTATTAAAAGCTTAGTAAGTGCACATTAATGATATAAATAATGCACAATATTGTGCATTAGATTGCACATTAAAAATCATGTAATTTAATGAAATCACATATTTGCCACTGCTCATCGTTTGGTCGGTTCGGTTGTTTCAGCCATTTTGAATAATAATAATAAAGACTTACAATTGAAATTTTTAAAATTTTAAAAATTCAAATTTATTACAATTTAGTGTACGAGTATAATTTATTATTTAACAAAAAAAATAATAAATGCACATTAATGTTCATTATAATGCACAATACAGTGAATATATATATGCACACTAAATGTTCAGAATGAATAATATTGTCCATCTACCGAAACTTTAAAACCAAAATAAACGACTCAAAATTGAAAAAAAGAAAATTGGAACGATTGATTTTTTTTTTAATGTGCAATTCGTATAACAGTATTATGCACTGTTTCAGTCGTTATTGTTATTGTGCAGTCTGAATTGATTGAACTTTTATCTCAAAAAAAAATTGACCGAATTAATTGGTTTATTCTGTTGTTTATCCAGATTAATTAAAATATATGAAACAAAATATTATTTATATTAAAAAATGTAGTATTAATCTATGAACTATATATTAAAATTAAATCCAGTTAGCGTCGATATTATGAAAGCGTTGTTCAACATATAAACAAATTTGTTAAATGGTTGTTGTCGAATTGTTGATATGTTTGTATGGTTATTTAGTAATTTTATATTATTTTTGGTATAAATAACTGAAGTTTTAAAAGTAAAAACTCTCTCTCGTTGAGAGCACAAGATTCTCTCGTTGAGAGCGATTTTAGTTGCTGATTCTAACCTGGATTTCTCAATTTGTTCAACCGTTTTCGTGATTATTAGATCCTCCTTTGTTAATAGTTTCGTAGAGTAGCCATTTCCAGTTGATACCCCTCTCTTCTAGTGTTCTCGCAATGGAGGATAACTTTCATACTCATACTAATGATGAGCTATCATCTAGACTGAATGACTTCTCATTATCTGAAAGGGAAATTAACGTCATCGATTATGCTACGGAAGATATTCGATTGAGCGACGACGAATGCCAAGAAGTTTATTTGGGAAAGTTATAGGAGACAGAGTTGAGGGCTGGTTCGGTGTTAAGAGAGCAATGACTCAAATATGGCAGCTTAATCAGCAGATGGAGGTGAAAGAGCTCAGCCCAAACTACTTCCAGTTTATCTTTCAAAGCAAAGAGGATAAAAATCTGGTAGCGAGTGGATCAAATTGGAGCTTCGAAAATCAGTACTTAATCCTTAGAGAATGGTCTCGCAATCTCAGCAGCAAACATCCCAGCTTCAGTGAGATTAATTTATGGGTTCAGGTAACAAATCTACCTCTTAATTGGTTGAGCGCTGATGTAGGGTTGAAGATAGGGTAAACTTTTAAGGAAGTGAATAATGTAGTCATTGTGAACAACGACAGTCATGGAGGGAAAATGCTTAGGCTCCTTGTTACCCTGAATCTGGAAGAGCCTATTCCCAGAATAGCCCATATCCGTTTAGGTGATGACACAGTGAATGTGGGCTTTAAGTATGAAAAGCTCATGAACCTGTGCCACTACTGTGGCAAAATAGGGCACTTGGACAGAACCTGCCAGTCAAGAATTCAGGATATAAAAAACAAAACTCTTAAAGAAGGTCAATATGGTGATTGGTTGAAGGCTACCGAAGGACAAAAATGGCCAGGAGGAAGTCAATCAAGAAATAGAAGCTCCTCTCCTCCGTCCCCTACATCTGCTCCTGAGCTAAGAAGAACTCAAAGAGCATCCTCAAACCAGGCAGACCAAAATAATCAGATCATTCCCCTTCGTGAAGTCAACCCCTCTCACTCAATTCAAGCTTCAGTAGACCCTCAGTCATCTCCTTCTTCTGTTAAGGTCTCCACTGCATTATCTATCTCTTCTCAAAACAAAACGCCAATTCCAGATGAGGTGTTGGTTGAACCTAGCCCAACAGATAAGGAGATAACAGCTTTGATGGAATTTGAAACCGCTGAAACTTTCCCACTCATAACTCAGCTGGAGAAGAAACCCACCGGCCCTACAAAAACATGGAAAAGATTGGGGAACAAGTCTGGAAGATTGCTCAGGGAATCTGTCATACCAATTGTGATTGACAATGTCATCGGTCTGAAGAGAACCTCTGCAGAATGTGAGCTTCCATCTTCATCCAAAGATTCAAAACTTCAAAAGCAAGACACAATAGCCAAACCACAAGAAGATTCTGAAAAGGTGGGGGTTGCCATCCTGGAATGGCACCCAAGTGGTCAATGCTAGCTGTGGTGTGGAATTGTAGAGGGCTGGGTAGGCCCTCTACAATTTCCCAAATCAGAGAGTTGCTGAAAACTCATCACCCAACCTTTCTCTTCCTTTCTGAAACTAAAAAATCCAAAGCCTTTATTAATACAGTTAGCAATAAGCTGGGTTTTACAGATAGATTCATCACAGTGGACCCCCTGGGCTGCAGTGGTGGACTGGTTTTGTTCTGGAATTCCCAAGTAATCATCAAGAAAATTATATGCAAGGAGTATTATATAGCTGTAGAATTTTTGTTGTCCACCTCCGTTCCACAATGGGGAATTTTTGTCTATCTCAACCCCATTATAAG